TCTTTTCTTTTCTTTTTTTTGAGACGGAGTTTCGCTCTTGTTACCCAGGCTGGAGTGCAATGGCGCGATCTCGGCTCACCGCAACCTCCGCCTCCTGGGTTCAGGCAATTCTCCTGCCTCAGCCTCCTGAGTAGCTGGGATTACAGGCACGTGCCACCATGCCCAGCTAATTTTTTGTAGCTTTAGTAGAGACGGGGTTTCACCATGTTGACCAGGATGGTCTTGATCTCTTGACCTTGTGATCCGCCCGCCTCGGCCTCCCAAAGTGCTGGGATTACAGGCTTGAGCCACCGCGCCCGGCTTCTTTTCTTTTCTTTTCTTTTCTTTTCTTTTCTTTTCTTTTCTTTTCTTTCTTCTTTCTCAGAATCTCTCTGTGTCACCCAGGCTGGAGTGCAGTGGCCTAATTTTGGCTCACTGCAACCTCCACCTCCTGGGTTCATGCAGTTCTCCTGCCTCAGCCTCCTAGTAGCTGGGACTACAGGTATGCACCACCATACCTGGCTAATTTTTGTATTTTTAGTAGAGACGGGGTTTCACCATGTTGGCCAGGCTGGTCTCGAACTCCTGACCTCAGATGATCCACCATTTTCAGCTTCCCAAAGTGCTGGGATTACAGGTGTGAGCCACCATGCCTAGCCAAATTTGCAACTTATTTTCTTAGAAAAGAAAAAGAATGGTTTGGATTATTGGGCTAGCCCACATTTTAACCATGAAGGAGCTGAAATATTTTGCACTGAAAAGGTAGAATATAAATTTATAGACCTCAACATTTAATATAATGAAAAGAAATAAAATTGAATAAAGAATAATTTTTTTTTTTTTTGAGACAGAGTCTCACTCTATCGCCAGGCACCAGGCTGGAGTGCAGTGGCACAATCTCGGCTCACTGCAACCTCCGCCTCCCGGGTTCAAGCAATTCTCCTGCCTCAGCCTCCCAAGTAGCTGGGACTACAGGCACATGCCACCACACCCAGCTAATTTTTTTGTATTTTTAGTAGAGACGGGGTTTCACCATGTTGGCCAGGATGGTCTTGATCTCTTGACCTGTGATCTGCCCGCCTTGGCCTCCCAAAGTGCTGGGATTACAGGCTTGGGCCACCGCGCCCAGCCAATAAAGAATAATTTTTAAAACTTTTATTAAGTATTAAGAGAAAACAAGTTTTATCAAGTAAGATATAATGGAACAGGCTTTATAACCTTAGATAAGTTTTTTTTTTTTTTAACTTGGGTTTTAATTATGTACGTAAATAGCAACATGAGAACGAGGGGTTCTAAGGCTTGTACATTATCTCTAGGTGAAAGGGTTTCAGATTAGTTTGCTTGTAGGATGGTATCACCCAAGATAACAGCAATCTGGTCTAGTTTTTCCTGAAGAAGAAAGCCAATTTAATACATTCAATACTGACTTCCCTGCCATTTTTCTGTAGAAATACTGATTTATTCTATGGAGTTTCCAGTGTTTACCTATAACTGATTAAGATGGGCAGAGCATGGAGTTTTCTACTTAGTTCCAGGTGAATTCTTCATATTTCCTGGCTTTTGAAAGTTCTCCTTCCACAAATCTTCTATGACGATATATCCTCGTAAACCCCAGTCATATAATCTCTCCCCACTGACCTGGGCAAACACGATGGCTTGTTGTGGATAATAGAGGGAGGCAGCTAATCCCATGAAACCAGGCGGATACACTAGCTTATTTTTGAACCTCTAGCCAAAAAGAGTCCAATAAGGCCAGCAAAACCAATAACACCAAGTCTCGGAAAAAATCGAGGAGGTGCATTTTGGAGATAGTCATAGCTGTCTAACCCCCATTGAACCAAACTTTGCATCTTGGGCTTAGTTTGGGAGTACGTTTCCTGACACCAGCTTGTGTATGGCTCACAGTAGTGTCGGAGCTGTGAGATGCTTTCTTCAAGTGGGCTCCTCGACTCCTCCACATACTTCGACTGACCTTTGGGAACTGAGTAGAGTGAAAGGTCATCAACCTTCACAGAATTTTTGGGAGGTGAGTCCTTTTTTGGTACAGCATAGACTTTGAAGGTGAGCAAGCTCAGGCTGGCCAGCCCCACGGACCTCTGAATTACCTTGAACATGTCCTAGATAAGTTACATAAACTTTCTGACCTCAGTTTTTGCTTCAGTAAAATTGATTGGGTCTTTGTAACAGTTAAATGAGATAATACATGCAAAGTTCCTAGTACAGAGCTGGCTCATAATGAGCTCTCTGCAAATGGCCACTGTTTAAATACTGGTACAAGTGGCATTGGAATTTAGGTTTCCTGCACATTCTAGGTCTAGTGCATTGTCCTGCTGAGTTGGGGCAAAGATGAGAGGGAATACAGGTAGTGCTGTGAGGTACTACTGGAGCCCAGCAGGAGTGTGACAGATGGGAGTTCTGGGTCTTCTGTGGTAGGAATTTTACTCTGTTCAGGTATGCAGGAGTTTACCTCCTTTTCCCTTATTGCTGCTGCCTGTTCCCTCTTGCCAGTGTCTTGCCAGCACTGGGAGCAGGGACCAGCTTGCCCAGAACTTGAAGCTCCTGGGAAAAGGGGTCCTGACCTTAGGCACTGTGGGAAGCAAGCAGGTGTGTATGCTGTTGACCTTCAGAGGGTTTTGTTGTTGCTGATTTGTTTTAAGAAAAGAGAAAACTAACATTTACTGAGTGCCTGGCACATCCCCAGCACAGTCCTGTGTATTTAACATGCCATCTCATTTAATGTTCACAACAGCTCCATGAGGAGGAGGCATCATTATCCCACCTTGTAGACCAGGAAAGGAGAACTTTAGATGGCATTACTTATCTAAAGTAACACTGGCAAGATATTGCAGAGCTGGGATTCACACACAGGTCTGTTTGGCTCTCAAACCCATTTATCCAGCTGTCCTCCAAGTTCTCATAAGAATGCACACAGTGTGTACATCCAGCATGCCCAGGCTTTCCGTTCTTATAGAAACTGTATCAAACCCGTACCTTCCGGAGGAAGAGAACTGGTATGAAATTTAGAATTTATTAACACCATTAACTTTAAAAATTGAACAGTAACTGGCTTCCATCTCTCATTTCAAATTGAATCACATAACGGGGATGAAAACATTGATTAGGGAGAAACTGTTTGTTAGAGGTAAAATGGTTTACCATGTAAATATGCTGCCGTGTTCCATTATACATGACTTAGCATTTCAACATTTCGTAATCTGTTACATTTAATTAGGCACAGTACATAAAGTATGCATCACAAGTAAACATGGGGAAACACAATGGCAAATTTTTCTAAGATTTGTGCTTCATAAATTTTCAGTTTGTTAATTTCAATAATGATGTTTTAGTGTCAGCTGTTTCCTCCCAAACAAGTGCAGATCCTCTTCCTGACGCAGCTTGTGCATGGAAACAACGCCAAGGATGTACTACAAAGTTCCACACATCTGCCTCTTGGAGGCTGCCTTTAAGTAATAATTTTTCTCTTGTATGTAATGTTGTTATTAACATGATCAATAAATGTAGTGACGGAATTTGAAATATAACATACAATTAAAGCTAATTAATAAATTGGCTTTCAGTGACTGTAGAGACATTATAGATGGTTTAGCTTTTTATTTTGAACGTGAAATTTTTCTTAAATGCAAAGCCGCTTGGGAAATTTCAGTGGCTTGAGCTTTACAAAGTGTTTAATTTCAATTATTTTAAGAATTCTCAGACCTGTCCACCATGCCTTTCAGATAGATTGGTCACTCATATAGTTCTGGGTCCCAGCACAAGGCCTGGTACTTAAACTTATAATGATTGTTAGGTGACTTTCCAGTGCTTTTTCTGTTACTGTTTTTAATTTATTCATTAAAAAGTATATTTTTCTAATTTAAAAAACCCTAATACTTGCTGATCTGAAAAATATTTGGATGATACCTGAAAACACAAGAAATGCAAAAACAGAAATTCTAAACCCACTCTACATGATAGTCACATGTTAGTACTTTTTTCCTGTGCATGTGTATATACCTATATCTATGTATGTTAGTGTTTGAGTATTTTTACCAAAAACAAAAAAAGACTCATGGTGTATGAAAAGAAAAAGCACCCTTTCTTCCTTTAGTATGGTATATAATGAATATTTTCCCCTTAACATGATCTTTGATAAATGATCATATTCCATTTTACAGATGTACTCTAAATTTAATCTCTCTCTATATATATTTCTATTAATAAGTAGGAATGAGGGGCCAAGTATAGTGGGGCAGTAGGGCTGAGGGGCCAGCACTTTGGGAGGCCGAGAGGTAGGTGGATCACTTGAGCTCAGGAGTTCAACACTACCTGGGCAACACAGCAAACCCCTGTTTCTACAAAATATAGAAAAACTAGCCAGTCATAGTGGTGGGCGTCTGTAGTCGCAGCTACTCAGGAGACTGAGGTGGCAGGATCTCTTGAGCCTGGGAGGTTGAGGCTGCAGTGAGCTGTGATTGTGCTACTGCATTTCAGCCTGGGCAACATTTCTGTCTCAAAAAAGTAGGACTGTAGTGGTATCTTTGCATATTTATCTGTAAATATTTTCTGAAGATAAGTTTTAGTAATTTGGGCAAAGGGTATGTTAATATTTGCTGGCTTATTCTCCAGAAAGGTTATGCAAAATAATAAGTAAACTGTATGTACCACCTTTAGGTTTATTTCTTTAATCTGAACTTAAAAGATCCTGTATCTGACAGATTTGTTTTCTGTATAGCTACAAAAGGTCATTGTGACACATGGAAGTGGTTACCCGAGTGAGCCCTGTTTTTAGCCCAAAAAAAGTCTTTAGGCACACCCATTATGAGGGGTTCCCATGCTCTGCTCACACAGAGAAGTTAAAGTGTAACCAGAGTTAACCTGATCACTTAAGGCAGCAGTCTACAAACTCAGGGGACACATGCTCCACAGAGTAGCTGAAGATTTTCCAAAGAGGACTCAGGTGTGCATGGTTTCAGGGTTTTCACTGGCCAGCTATCCTTATGTATATGTGTACTCCTTGCTAAAATCCATCTACCCCAGAAAGTGGCTGTGATGAAAGCATTGTGTTGGTTTTCTTTTCCCTTCCTCCCCTTTCCTACCTGCCCTTTTCTCACTTTATGAAAGAAAGGGATACTCCCACCTGGTTCATTGCCCCAAAGTATGAGACTCTCTTGGGAGCCCAGCAAGAGACATTATGAAATATTGGTGATAACCAAGCCTCCTTTAATCAGCACTGTACAACCACCCCACTCTTAATTAAGAAATGCGTGTATGATGAAACCTACATTTGATGGTCAAAATAAGTGTATTTTTATTTATCAAAGTAAGCATTTGTGTTGCTTTGATTAGTTTTAAACTAACTGTAATGATAGTTTAGTCCAGAAGGAAATATTAAACATGTAGAACCTTATAGGAAATAAAAATAATTTCAAATTTTTAATTTCCATATATTCCTTTTGTAGAGCATAAAATTATATTGCATTAGGATAATATGGGAGAGAAATGAAATAGAAATACACGTTCAAGAAAAAGAGTGTAAAATTTTAGACTTGAAGAGCAAGTTTATGATTTTTTTTTTTTTTTTTGAGACTGTGTCTCGCTCTGTCTCCAGGCTGGAGTGCAGTGTTGCGATCTCAGCTCACTGCAATCTCCGCCTCCTGGATTCAAGCAATTCCCCTGTCTCAGCCTCCCGAGTAGCTGGGATTACAGGCGTGCATCACCATGTTCAGCTAATTTTTTGTATTTTAGTAGACACGGGATTTCACCATATTGGCCACTATGGTCTTGATTACCAGACCTCATGATCTGCCCGCCTTGACCTTTCAAGGTATTGGGATTACAGGAGTGAGCCACCATGCCCGGCCTATGTATTTTTTAAATGGATAGTGGATATCAGATTGCTGTGCTATTTATGTTTGGTTGGATACATTTTAAAGAATAGTATTACAGTTTCATTTTAAGATGTCAACATTTATGACACACTGGAATAACGTTGTTTACAACTATTTAGACTTACGAAGAATTGTAGATGCCAACTTAGAAAATGTGCAAGGAAGGAAAAATGTGTTGCAGGGTTCATAATTTTTCAAGATTAATTTAGGGGGAATTCCAGCAAAAATGTGCAGACCACTGACCCTGGACAGGCACATAGATGGGAGGGCAGCCTCACTGGAACCCTTTCTGAATTCCACTGCTGCAGATCTCAGGCTTATTTCAGCTTCGTCCCCTGCACTCAGCAGTGACACCTGGGGAGAACCCACAAGCCCCTCTTCAGGCTTTCCCTTGCCTAGAGTTTCTCCCCATTCCTCTTCCTCAGCGGGAACCCGCCAGCCCTTCAGGTGCTTTGCTCCAGCTCCTCCCTGGGTACCAGTGCCTTCCCCATTTCACTCCCCACCCCTTCCCTGACAGAAATATTCTGTCAGATGCTGCCACTTCTAGAAACACTTCCTGATTTTTCCACTACTTTTTTCTGTAGAATGGGTTTCTGTTCCCTCTGTCACTATAAAAAAGGGGGTTTAGAGGTTAAGAAGGGAAAAGTAAGTTAGAGAAGAGAATAAAAGTTTCTGGGGTCTCAGAGTGGTCCAGGGAGAGGGAGGCAGGCTTGCATTTTTAGCTTTTTTTGTGGCCACACAAGCTGTTGAAGTTTTCTGCTTCTGAATTGTGGAGTTTCAATAAAATCATTATGGTATAGAACTAAATTGAAACAGACGTCCCATTCAAGTTTGACCTTGCCTCAGAAGCCTCCTCTGATTTCTCAGATTTGCTGGGATGTCTCTTCCTTCAAATCTCTGTTGCTTTTAGAGTCTGTACTGTACAGACATGAGATCATCACTGTCCTGCAAGTTTTGTTAATTATTTTGAGTGGATAGCATTGCTTTTCTAACGAGATTGTGAAGTCCAGGCAGGCAGGGGCCATGTGTTTATTTTTTCATTTATCCACAGTACCTGGTATAGTATTGACCATAGCAGATGCTCTGTAAGCATTTTGCAGTTGGTTATTTAAAAAAAAAAAAAAAGTTGACGGGGAGTCCTGGGTGGAATTCTAGATACATCCCACTTTGCTGTGTGATTTTGGGCAACTTGTCTGTGGTCTGGATCTCTCGTTTCTTCTTTGATAAAACATGATGGATAGTAATAGCTAAT